ACCTGATCCACCCCATGAATCAGTCCCAGCAACTCATCTGGCCCATGGACACTCCTGCACCACAGAGTCCAATCTTTTCACACCCCAAGACAAATTTAGCTCTTCCAGGAACATTTTGTGATGTAATGTAGACAAGGGATAAGATAGAGAGAGAAATCCTGGCCCCATTGCAATTAATAGCAAAGTTCCTGTTCACTTCAGTGGGGCAAGGGTTTGTCTAGGGAAATTAAGTGACTTGCCTGAAGTCACACACTTTACCAGGCACAAACCTGGTTACAGATCTTAGAAGCCCTGAATATGGGAAGTTAAATCCCAGTTCAGCAGTGACTGGTTGCATAATCACAGTGGGAAATGGTGGAAAACATCCTCTCACAACAATATTTTAGTTGCAGATCTGATCCAGGTGCTGTGGGACATCCCCGTGGACACCTCTGGTAAGTCAGTCTCAGAAGAGAGGCCAGAGCCTGTGAGATACTGGGCACTAAAGGCCATTCTTCTACTGTCCAGAATGCCCAACAGCAATTTAGCAAGATCTCATGTGCTCCCATCCTGGAGCAAGACTGGGCGACAAGCCCAGGACCTCACCAGGGCTGCCAGGCTGTTCTACCTCACAAAAAACTATGGTTATGTGAGAAGGTTTTAAGAAAATGAGAAGCATTTGGGGGAGGCAATGCTGGAGGAACATTGCTTTAGTAGCCCCAGCCAGGTTCTTAAAAGAGGTTTGAATACCTGAAGGAGATAAGCACCTAATACTTTTTTAGAACAAAAGGTGCCCAACTCCCATGGGATCTGACACACTCTTGAAAGTCACACTAGACACGTATCTGCATCCTTGGGCACCTTTAAAAGCCTGGCCCAGCACTCGCTGTTATTCTTTGTTATTTTGTGCTCTGCAATTTCATTCTAGCTGCGGTTCTCCCCTATGCGCAGCTTACTACACCTTCTGGCTCTACTAAGATACTTCCTGAGGATATTTGCTAACAGGAAGACAGGAAAGGAGAAGGCTGACAAGTCATTAGGTGACATAAGACCGTACGCTGAGCCAAGCAGGTCTATTTCCAATAAAGCCGACAAACCAACCCTTCAGCAAACTAGGTCAAATTCAAACACTTAACTGTGAACTGCAGTTCACAACCATCTCACTGGCCTACGTTCGGCAAGCAAAATTTTATTTACATTGAAAAGATGCGGAGAGGCCTTGGAAATGGAAAGGCTTAGGGAAAAGACGCTTGCTACCTGCTAGAGAGAGCACGTAGTGGTGTGTGTACAAATAGTGAACTCAAAAAGCGAGAGAAAATAAAAACAGAGAACACTTCAGTTTTCTCTCAAAAGGAAAATATGGTCTTCATTCGGTGTCCAACTTTTACCACCTATAGTGTTAGACAGCGCAGAACCAAAGGGGCGTTAAGTAGCACAAGACATTGAGTATCAGGATACACGAGGCAGCTTTCCTGCAGATTCACTGGGTCACTGTGGGTTTGTCCCCAGAACAGCTAGTCCACACTCGCTCCCTGTGGGCATTTTTCTACACACCTCTTGGAGGTGGGGGGGGAGGGAAGAGGGGGGCGCTTTCATTAGATAGATTTCATAGACGTTCGGGCTGGAAGGGACTTTGCAAGATTATCGGGTCCAGCCCCTGCCCAAAAGGGCAGGAAGTCAGCTGGGGTCAAATGATCCCAGCAAGATAAGCATCCAAGTGTTTTTTTGAAAGTATCCAGAGTACACAATTGCACCCGCTCTGGGGGAGTCTATTCCAGGCCCTGAGGACACTGACAGTAAAGAAGTTTTTCCTTATGTCCAGCCGAAAACTGTCTTCCCAGAGTTTGTGGCCAATGGACCTTGTCTTCCCATGGAGTGCCCTGGTGAACAGACAGACACTCTCTCAGATCCTGATGCAGGCCCCTTATGTACTTATAGGATGCCACCAAGTCACCCCTGAGCCTACGCTTTTCCCAGCTGAAGAATCCCATGGCTCTCAGCCTCTCCTCATAAGGTCTGCTCTCTTGTCCTCTGGTCATGTGCGTAGCTCTCCTCTGGACTTTTTCAAGTTTCTCCATGTCCTTCCTGAATTGCAGAGCCCAGAATTGGATATAATCCAGCTGAAACCTCACCACAGCTGAGTAAAGTGGGAGGATGACTTCCTGGGTCTTGCTTGAGATGCACTGGTAGATGCAGTGCCAGAGTTTTGTTTGCTTTGCCAGCTGCGGTGTTGTATTAGTGGCTCACATTCATCTTGTGGTCAATCATGACCCCCAAGTCTCGTTCGGTCATGGTGCTAGCAAGCGTAGCACTGCCGAGCCTATAAGTGTGGTGCGCAGTTTTTTTCTCCTGAGGTGGAGCACCTTGCATTTCTCAGTGTTGAATGCCATCAGGTTTTGATCTGCCCACCTTGTAAGCCTGTCGAGGTCAGCCAGGATCGCCAGCCTGTCGTCTAGGGTCACACTTCCCCATAGTTTGATGTCGTCAGTGAATTTAGCCAGCCTGCTTCTGACACAAGAGTCCAGATCATTTATAAATACGTGGAAGAGTACAGGTGTGAGAATGGAGGCCTGGGGGATGCCGCTGGTCACCATGTGCCATCGTGATTCTGTTCCATTGGCTATCACTCTCTGAGTCCATCCACGGAGCCAGTTCCCCAGCCATCGGACCATAAGATTGTCAAAACTGCAGTTCCACAATTTTTCCATGAGAACATCATGGAACACCAGGTCAAACACTTTCATGAGGCCCAGAAATATGAAGTCCACCTCTTCTCCTTTGTACAGGTGATGCATCACCTAGTCATAGAAGGAAATGAGATTGGGCAAGCAAGACCAACCTACAACAAAGCCACATTGACTCTCTCTCATGATGTCGCCTTTTGAT